TCGCTTGTATCGTATTCCACACCACAATCTCATGCAAATCTCTCTGAAAAAAACATGGCGGCTAAACAGAGAGACAGAGAGAGAGATACTCGTACAGTGTTGGAGCTTGCAACAGGTGTGCAGGCGGCCCTTTTGGTCAGTCACAAGATATGGGAAATAAAAGGTAAGGCTACTGCATGAATCCACAGCAATACAAACCTGTTAGCACAGTATTTTTTTTATACCCGATACTCAAAATGAGTATTGGGGTATATTAGATTTGTGGTAAAAGTGGATGTGTGTAACGTCCAGAAGGAATCGTTTCCGACCCTATAAAGTATATATATTCTTGATCAGCATCAATAGCCGAGTCGATTGAGCCCTGTCTGTCTGTCCGTCCGTCCGTCTGTCCGTCTGTCCGTCTGTCCGTCTGTCCGTCCCCTTCAGCGCCTAATGCTCAAAGACTATAAAAGCTAGAGCAACGATGTTTTGGATCCAGACTTCTGTGATATGTCACTGCTCCAAAAATATTTCAAAACTTTGCCCCGCCCACTTCCGCCCCCACAAAGGGCGAAAATCTGAGGCAACCACAAATCTCAGAGACTATTAAGGCTAGAGTAACCAAATTTTGTGCACACACTCCTTTAAGATGTCACTCTAAAACGTATATCTCAGAATTTCGCCCCACCCCCATCCGCCCCCACAAAGGACGAAAATCTGTTGCATCCACAATATTGCAGATTTGAGAAAACTAAAAACGCAGAGTCATAGATAATGACCATATCTATTAGATTGCTGAATCTGGATCAGATCAGATCATTTTTATAGCCAAAAGGAACAAATCAATTTGCAGTGGCTACGCAGCGCCCGACGTCACGCTCAGACTGATTTTCTGTCTCTCTCGCACGCACTCTTTGTCGTGTCGTTAAATATTAGCGGCGTCGGCCGGAGGAGAGCCATACTGACTTAGTATCGGGTATAACCGTAGAGTTGCGGTGTCCGCAGCAACTCACAACGTTCCCCCTCGTTTTTATATGGATTCTATGATTGATGTCGAGGTACGTGTGCCTTTACATTTATGAGTATTTTGCAGCATACCCGCACTCACGGAAGAGGGAAACGCATCTTCTCTCTCTCTTACTGCCCTACCTGTCCTTTAATGTACCCTTCAGTCAGTTCTCTTGGCTCTCGGTTTGTTTTTGCGCTTCTGCTGCTCATCTGGCTGTCTGTCTGGGATGTTGCCGCATGATGTGGCAGCCGTCTGCTGGTTATTAGCCACACATTCAACAGATCCACCCATTTAATTAGAGGCTTCTGCTTCACACACTCTTCTCGATGACGGCGGGGTGCATGCCACAGGGCAGCCATTTTGTGCTGCTTTACTGGGGCTTCTGTTCCCGCTCTTCTTCCTGGGGATATCTCTTTTTTCTTATTTGTGTTTTCGTTTGTGGGTGGAGCAATACTTTCTTTCTTTCTAGTGAAATCTCAATTCCGATTTGACTAAACTTTTATCGCTGAATGTGAATGTGCCCATGCCCCTTCCCCATGCCACTGTTCCCATTCCCGTTCCAGTTCCCGTTGCACTACAGCTTCTGACTGCATCTCTCTCTGCGGCTTATTAGCCGCCGCCGCGCTTTGCTTTGCTTCGCTTCGGCTGCAGGTGGCCGGCCGCCATTTGGGCCATGATTTATGCAGTGGCAAGGCATTAGAAAGGTCGTTCGCTCGCAGTTGTCGTCGCTTGTCGTCCGTCGTGATCCAATGGCCGTGACCAAAGAGTAGGAGGCGATCCGCGTTCCAGCGACTATTGCTGCTGCTGCCGCTGCTGGTGAGGATTACAGAACAGAAACCCATTTGCACTGTCTTCGCAGCGTCTCGGACGTCAGCGACGTCTTAATTAGGTTTTCGCCTGAAAAAAGTGTCGAAAAAATGCTCAGACCACGCCCACATACTCGCTGACCCACAAATGTTTCACTGGGGCACTCTTCTTTGTTAGTCATGCCCCAATTTGAGGCATTTCTTTGCCAGGATTATAAATGGCATCACATTTGTCTTGGCCACGTTAATGTGCGTCTCCCTTTGGCCAAAAAAGAAAACCTGGAACATCTTCATTAGCGAGGCGAGTGAGAGCGAGAGAGGGAGGAGTTCCTGGAAGAAAGTACAGTTTTGTCTCTGACGGCCTACGCAAAAGTTAGACATCCCGAGGCGGCTTTCTTTGGTACTGGGGTTAAAAAATACACAAAGTCTTAGCCTAAACCTTATCAAAGGTCGAGTCCTGTGTGGATATTGATGCTGTTAATGATGATGCCACCGCCAGGAACTGCAAGAATTCCTCGTCGATGGCTGTCGCCGCAGCGGTCGCTGCCTCCAGGCCCTCCTGTGCTTGACAACTCCGCTTTTGCCGTTGCCTGGTCAATGCCTCCTCCCATGATCGATGCAGCCGCTTGTCTGGCCGCAGCTTCTGATTCGGCTTGCGTCCGCGTCGGTTCCGCTGCAGCGAACTGGCTGCTCCTTGAGCGGCTCATGTTCCTCACCCCCTTGAATGGCACTACCTGCAGCTCGCCATCGTGATTGAATTCCACGCAGGATATGATATCCGGATATTATAATGCGCCCTTAATCTGGGAGAAGCACAGGACGCCTCTCTCTATCGGCAGAGAACACGCCGGCACGAAATCGGGATTGGAGTCCGGCAGACCCACCGTAGGTTCCGAAATTAATCGGTATTGGAAATTTTAAAATCGTATTGGATTATGTTTGTTTATGCACAGCGTTGCCAGACCTCAGAAAAATAGCTGACGGTTGAAGCGCTGCAAGTTGGCAAAATAGCCGAAAACCACAAGCAGATGGCGCCGGTCAAACTACGGAGAAATTTCATTGACAAATAGAGATAACTACTGTTGCGGTTCATAATTACTGATATAGATGGCGCATTTAATTCGTGTCGCTAAATCGATGTAGGATTCATGTAGAGTTCACGATGGTCGTGAAAAAATGTATGCCATTTTTCCGATGACAAACGATTAGCAGGACTCGCTATATCTCGGCTATTTATGGGCCGATCGGCAAAGGACCACCTCTCCCAGGATCGCGAGGATCCAGACTGTCGAACGGCATCAAAATCTCGGCTTCGAAAATGAGGTCGATTTTTTGAAAATTCCATGATGTAACCATCATGATTATTTGCGAAAATCGTGAGGGCATGGTTGTCCTTTTTTCTGATGCCAACCGGTTGGCAGGACTCTCCCGGTCACGAAATGACATGCCACGCCCCGATCGGGTGCCGTTTAGCAGAGATATAGCTTGCAGAAAAAACCAGTATTTTAATGATACGCTAATCCAAATCTTCGGGAGGCTATATCTCGGCTATTTATGGGCCGATCGGCAAAGGACCACCTCTCCCAGGATCGCGAGGATCCAGACTGTCGAACGGCATCAAAATCTCGACTACGAAAATGAGGCCAATTTTTGACAAATTTCATGATGTAACCATCATGATTATTTGCGAAAATCGTGAGGACATGGATGTCTTTTTCTCTGATGCCAATCGGTTGGCAGGACTCTCCCGGTCACGAAATGACATGCCACGCCCCGATCGGGTGCCGTTTAGCAGAGATATAGCTTGCAGAAAAACCCAGTATTTTAATGACACGCAAATCCAAATCTTCGGGAGGCTATATCTCGGCTATTTATGGGCCGATCGGCAAAGGACCACCTCTCCCAGGATCGCGAGGATCCAGACTGTCGAACGGCATCAAAATCTCGACTACGAAAATTAGGCCAATTTTTGACAAATTTCATGATGTAACCATCATGATTATTTGCGAAAATCGTGAGGACATGGATGTTCTTTTTTCTGATGCCCATCGGTTGGCAGGACTCTCCCGGTCCCGAAATGACTTGCCACGCCCCGATCGGGTGCCGTTTAGCAGAGATATAGCTTGCAGAAAAAACCAGTATTTTAATGACACGCAAATCCAAATCTTCAAGTGGCTATATCTCGGCTATTTATGGGCCGATCGGCAAAGGACCACCTCTCCCAGGATCGCGAGGATCCAGACTGTCGAACGGCATCAAAATCTCGACTACGAAAATTAGGCCAATTTTTGACAAATTTCATGATGTAACCATCATGATTATTTGCGAAAATCGTGAGGACATGGATGTTCTTTTTTCTGATGCCCATCGGTTGGCAGGACTCTCCCGGTCCCGAAATGACTTGCCACGCCCCGATCGGGTGCCGTTTAGCAGAGATATAAAACCAGTATTTTAATGACACGCAAATCCAAATCTTCGGGTGGCTATATCTCGGCTATTTATGGGCCGATCGGCAAAGGACCACCTCTCCCAGGATCGCGAGGATCCAGACTGTCGAACGGCATCAAAATCTCGACTACGAAAATTAGGCCAATTTTTGACAAATTTCATGATGTAACCATCATGATTATTTGCGAAAATCGTGAGGACATGGATGTCCTTTTTTCTGATGCCAATCGGTTGGCAGGACTCTCCCGGTCACGAAATGACATGCCACGCCCCGATCGGGTGCCGTTTAGCAGAGATATAGCTTGCAGAAAAACCCAGTATTTTAATGACACGCAAATCCAAATCTTCGGGAGGCTATATCTCGGCTACTTATGGGCCGATCGGCAAAGGACCACCTCTCTCAGGATCGCGAGGATCCAGACTGTCGAACGGCATGAAAATGATGCCGTCTCGACTACGAAAATGAGGTCGATTTTTGGCAATTTTCTTGATGTAAGTCTGGAGACCCTCGGGAAGGGAGGAGCTGGTGTAGAATGTTGGTACGCCTACAGAAGTTCGCGCATAACATCCTAGATTCCTGAAGCAGCAGCGGTATCTCAACCAGAATCAGAACCAGATCTACCCGTACCGCCCGCAGAAGCAGGCAACTTGATCGGCGGCGCTCCATTAGCGCCATTGGCTCTCATAGCAGCAGCTACAGCTGTACCATCCGTGTCGACCGCCACCAGCCAATACTTAAACAAAATACGTTAAACTAATTTTATCGTTAGATCAACCATTTTAATAATTGGGTTGACTTATAAAATGTTGCTGGAAACACACGCACGTATCCTTAAATGTCTAGTCTAGTACATAAATTTACTCACAAATCTTTTGGATTAATATTGCGCTGCGCTGTGCTTTCTTATCAAATTTTCTTTGTTTTCTAATGCTATAAACCATAAAAAAACATATTTATCAATTTGTGCCTTAAGCCTGATCGGGGGAAGCTATATATCTCGCATCGTATAAATCTAAATGTAAACTATAAGAAATCACACAAAACTATATCAAGTGAAAATGCGGGGAAACAAATTAAATTCGTAACAAATGTACAGGGAAATAATGTAAGTGATGTAAAAAAATATAGTTTCACGATCTAGTCTAGATCTAGATCTAGTCTTGAGATTAACTTGCTGCCAGATGCCATAGGGCTGTCTGAATCAATTACAATATTTAAGCTGTTTTGTTTTTACAAAGAATTTTCTATTTCTTGTGGTTTTCGTTTTCGTTTTGTTTTTCTTTTCGTTTCGTTTTGGCAATTGGTTACGCGCTTCGCTTCTCAAAGTTTTGCTGTAGTTCTAGTAGGTTATATTCTGTTAAAATCATCCAAATCCTTGACTGCAATCGGTAGTTTCGCTTACAAGAATATACACTGCTCGAATGTATATATAAAAAGTGGTCCTTAATTCGAGACGTGTGGCTAAAACGTTTGTATGTATATATACATATATGTATATATATATATATATATATTTTATGTATTTTTTGTGTGTCTTGCTGGGTGCTATTGCTATTCAAACGAAATGAAGTACAAAATGAATCACTGAAGTTCTCAAGTACAAAAAGAAAAACTCGCAATTCTGCTCGATCGGACACACTACGGACTACAGAATACAGATCTCTTCTTGTTTTTAGTAAGCTAATATAAATCACGATAATATGGCCACGCTGCGACGCGGACCGCCCTGACTGATGTTGTCCATGGAGGACCACTTCTTGATGCCATTCTTGAGAGCCTCGGCTGTGACTTTGTCCTGCATCACCCGCGACATGGCCTCCAGCTTCTGGGCGCGCTCCTTCGACAGCGGCTCTGTGGGAAAGTTGAGCTCATTTGCCTCGGCCAGTGTCCGCAAATCGAAATAGTATTTAGCATACACAGAGGAGGGCACATTGATGTTGAACTGCAGCAGCTCCAGAAACTGTCGCTCCAGCTCGTTCATGTCCTCCACCGTAATGTCTTTGAGTATCTGGCAGTAGTCCACATTCCAAACAGCCTGATCGTCCCACACCTTAGAGGCGAGCAGTATGGCACCTGGAGAGATGCAGGGATTATTAAATGGAATCTCGAGTAGATTGCTTCCAGCTTCATGCGATGTACTCACCCAACACCATGCGCTTCCAGTTGGATGGCCCAACATCCATCTCCGCGTAGGTGAGGAGTCGCTCTAGGTAGACTAGCGTGATGATTGCACACTCCGCCGTCAGTTGGGCGGCATTGAAGAGCGTCCGCACAAACTTGTAGATCTGGCGGTGCTCGGGATTGTGAGTGTCATAGTTCTCGGGCACTGGGTCATGCGTCAGCGGATGCATCTTCTCGTCGAATATGTCCAGCCGCCGATCCGACTGACGGTTCTTGATGTGATAGTAAATCGCCAGCGAGACGCACTTGACGGTGTTCTTGAGATTTGGCTGCGAAACAGTGCTGTCGTCCAGGTAGATTGTAGAGCAGGAAGAGCTCTTCTTCATGCCACCGCCAACACCGCCGCAGCTGTTGCCACCGGGTGTGCTGCCACCGCCTCCAATGCTGCCAGCCTGTTGGGCAATCTGCTGCTGAGAGCGCTTCCGCGTCATGCCGCCATTCTCCACCTTCGAGCGTTCGAGGAACATGGTGGCTGCCGAGGGATCCACCGATGGATCCTCATCGCCACCCTCCAAAGCTTCTCGCTCCGAGATGTGCTGCAGATTCTGTTGATTCTCGAAATTGTCGCTGCTGCCCTGCTGGTGGTGATGATGATGATGGTGCACGGCCGCCGTGGAGCCATGATGATGATGTCCGTCCAGCTGGTGCTGCGAGGTGTGTGGCGGATGATTCAGCTGGTGGCGCTCCTCAAACACTGGCGGCATGTCCTTGGACTTGCGGTCCGACTGCGGACTGGAGTACGCACAGCACGAGTTCTTGTTTCCCATGATTGATGGATGATTGGAGTAGTTTGGAGTGGGTTGGCAGTTTAAATGCAATTTGCTGTCTCTCTGTCTTTAGTCCTGGCTTTGGCTCTGGTTCTGATGTCGTTTCGTTCACGCTCGGATGTCGTTTTTGGCACTTGGTCGTCTTGGGTGAACCGATTGGTTGTCTATCAGCATGGCGCTGGCGTTTGTATCGTTCCACAATAACCTGCCGCTACTACTACTGAACGCTGCTGACCCCGAACCGAAGAATATGCACTGCAAAAGAAGATAGGCAATTAGAAAAGGGATTCCATTTGCTCGGTTTACTCTTATCTAGCGTCTCTACACTCATTATTAGTTACGTTTTTCGTATTCGGAGATAAGATTCTGTTTTGTTTGCCCAAAAGCGGAATATCGCTCCAGCTTAAAGGCCAGCCGGATTATTGTGCAAAAATTAATTAACCCCAGGCACGACAACAGCAGGCGGGGCGCGACACCCGACAGTAGGTGGGTTGCAGGTTGCCTAATTTGGCGAGGTCTTTGTGGGTTTTTCTCTCTTTTTCTTCAGTTTTTGGTTTTCGCTTTTTTATTGGGGCGGGGCTGGGTGGCTTGTGACTTTTGCTTCGTTAGGCGAGTGATGTGTTACTGTCACCAAAAACTGATGGCCCAGATTTAGATTACTATATCACACTGTCAAACGGTGGGCTCTACATTAATCACGGTCCAAAAATGAATGAATGAATAAATGAATGAATGGAACGGCTAGCTTCATCGTCGGCAAAGTGTCGCTGGCAGCGCAGTCTGAGGAAAAACACCCACGACACGCTTATGGCTCTCGTTTCTTCCTCCCCAAAGACTTGGCAGGCAGCGAATACAGGTTGCCTGTATTAAGTGATTCTTACTTGATTGACACTTAACTTAATTAATTAAACACTCTTCACACATTTTTTCATTGTTTTTCGTTTTCAGTAGTGTGACCGCGGATTTATCTATAAAATATACCGTCCGACCATCAGAAATATACCGTCTCATTTAAGAAATATACCGTAAATATACTGACTGACATATACTGAATTCAAGTTCTACATATTGCTCGTTTTCGATCTTCCGTGGAATATTACTAGCTAGATAGAACTTTTATCCATGCCCACATAATTTTATCCGATTAACGAATCAATTTTCTACTTAACTGGCTAGTCTTTAGTCTTTGCTTTTATTGTATTTTGGCTAAAGCAAGGCATAAACAAAATAGTTCAACAAAAAAAAACATCAAGATATGATACGTGTATAGGCCTTTGTACACCCTATTTCGATAATTTCATATGAAGATGAAACGTAATTTATTAAGACCTTTTCACAAATTGATGTGTTTTGGACATATTCATTATTTATTAGTATCTTGTATATAGGATAACAAACATTTTCTCAACTCTATAGCATCCTTTTCCCTAGGGTATGAAAATTAGTGTTGCCGGTAATCATTGTTGTCAACCGGTTATTCACCAATAAATACTCGTTTTTATCTTCCGTCGTATATTCCCAGCTATATAGCACATTTAGCCATGCCCACGTAATTTTATACGATTGATGAATCAATTTCATACAAGATTGGCTAATTTTAAGTACTCCCTTATATTTGATTTTGTCTAAAAAATGGTTTAAACAAAAAAGGTAAAAGCATAAAACGTATGTGTGTACAGAATGAAACGTAACTGTGCCTGGAATGTTACGTCATTGTTGCTGGTCAACAGGTATCCTCTATGAGTATAGGCGTATTTATACCCTATTTCATTAATTAATATGAAAAACTGTTTTCCAAACTGCTCTCTCAGATTTGGGATTCATTGGAGCTTGAGATAAGAAATATTTTCTCTATTTTATTATATACTTTTCCCTAGGGTACTACGAAATTGTTGCTACCGATTCAAAACCCGATTCGAATATAGATATTACGTCATAGACAACTCGAAGATACCCTATAACCGATTTCGAGAGCAAAATAAATACCGAAATATACGGCCTCATTTCCAAAATATACCGGACCGATTATAAAAACGACCTTAGCCCACTTAAGCCCCTTTTATTAAACAGGATAACGGCTTGAGTTGAGCCATGGAAAAAAATACAAAATAAATACCGAAATATACGGGCTCATTGAGCAAGTCCACTAACCATACAGTATATAGATGTGCCAGTTCATACAACGAAAGTGTCACACACCGGCTTGCGCTATCCGTACCCCAGAGTGACGTCATCATGAGAGAGAGAGCGCAGAGAGAACATCTTTGCATGTGTTAGTACACACGCAATATGTTTCGACAAAAATATGTGATTGTATGTTTTTTCAGATTTTTTTAACTCTCTCAGGTCTGATCTGTTTTGCCACCAGCATGTTTTAGTGTATGGGTGCACATGCATTCTCACGTACTTTGCGTGTGTGTGTTTACTATTGCTGGCCGCTAGAACTGAAATTTGAGTTTGGTTCTTGTTTCGGGTCTTTTGATGGACTGACCTACCGCCACAAAATAAATGAAGAATGGGCAGGGGGTGGGGGTATGGTACACTAGGGCGCGGGAAACAAAATAAAAGCTTATTTGTTATTTGTTTGATTTATACCACAAAATATAAAATATTACAATAATATAATTACACATTTATTTCCTTTCCGTCGGTTCTCGACTATATATAATAATATAATTGCACATTTATTTCCTTATCTTAAGCAGGTTGATTATAAATTATACAAATTATGCAAACGCCGTCGGTTCTCGACGTTTTGTTTATATCAAAGACTATACAATACCAAAGACTATACAATACCAAGATGTTGCATGAGCGACCAAAAAGCTGTTCTATGGCGGGTCCTAACATTAGAACCCAAAAGGCACGAGGGAGCGCGCGGGGTTTCAATTCCCTTTTCGCCTGTACTTCGTCTCTACCGCGACCCCGCTGCCCATCGGTTTCTTCTGTTCGGCAATTCTGGACTCTCGAGCCTCAGCACCGTCGAAGCGGTGGTCGCGGATCGCCGATGTCTTTGGAGCGGCACAGTGGGAAAATTCGATTGGAAAATTCTCTATTAGAATTTATCTAAAGCACTCATACAATTTTTTTACTATTTCGGCTGAGTCCCACTGTGCCGCGCCAAAGACATCAGCGACCACGCTGCCCTACGGTTTCAGCACGCAGACGATTCATATTTTGTTTTTGTATTCTTTCTCTCGAGACACACCGACTCGACGCTGACCGGGCAGCAGTAATTTTGAAAACCCTCATGCAATATACGAATGTAATAAACTTTAATATTTATGTGCATATGTATGTACATAAGATATTTTATAATTGAATTAGAAAATTTATGGGTATTGTCCATGAGAGTATTCAAGGTGCGACCGGCATCTAAATTTGTACTTTGCAGATTCCCGTCGGAAAGCGCGCGATTGACAATTGATTTGAAATATACAGTATGTCAAGAAACTCTTTACACACTGAAAATAAATTAAATTTTTTGACTTTGGATTCGATGAAAAAACGGCTCCAGCATGTAGTCAATGCTAAGGGAGGACATACCAAATATTAAAATAAGTTAAATATATTAAATAATTACGAAGAATTTTGAATTTAAAAAATGAAAATATTTTGTGTAAAGAGTTTCTTGACAGTGTCAAAAATGAGTAATCATTGTTTTTGTTGTTTTGTAAGTTACCTATTTATAGTTTTGTTATTCTTTTTTCACTAACTACTTTATAATTAATCCCTGAATGGTTAGGAATTAAAAAAATTTGATAAATTTGAACCAAAGGCCATTATTTTCTTATCCAAAGTCAAAAAGTGTAATTTAATTTCAGTGTGTAAAGAGTTTCTTGACATACTGTATGTAAAACCAATTCCATTTATATTTATGCATATTTATTTAAGTATATATATATATTTTCTTATATTGTATATTTAGATACATCATTGTTTTAGTTATAATAAACAAAAACGTCGAGAACCGACGGCTTTTGCATAATTTGTATAATTTATAATCAACCTGCTTAAGATAAGGAAATAAATGTGCAATTATATTATTGTAATATTTTATATTTTGTGGTATAAATCAAACAAATAACAAATAAGCTTTTATTTTGTTTCCCGCGCCCTAGTGTACCATACCCCCACCCCCTGCCCATTCTTCATTTATTTTGTGGCGGTAGGTCAGTCCATCAAAAGACCCGAAACAAGAACCAAACTCAAATTTCAGTTCTAGCGGCCAGCAATAGTAAACACACACACGCAAAGTACGTGAGAATGCATGTGCACCCATACACTAAAACATGCTGGTGGCAAAACAGATCAGACCTGAGAGAGTTAAAAAAATCTGAAAAAACATACAATCACATATTTTTGTCGAAACATATTGCGTGTGTACTAACACATGCAAAGATGTTCTCTCTGCGCTCTCTCTCTCATGATGACGTCACTCTGGGGTACGGATAGCGCAAGCCGGTGTGTGACACTTTCGTTGTATGAACTGGCACATCTATATACTGTATGGTTAGTGGCAAGTCCCAACAATCGGCTTTCGATATTATCGACTGCATAGTTGAGCTGCGCGCCTAAGTTAAATACCTGTTAAAAACTGTTTGGAAGCTGGCTTGGCTTTAGCTACTCGCAATTTGCTGGAGTTACTCAAAAAAATATATCAAAAAAAGGTTAATTTGTTCAAAAAGTGGTCAAAATATTTGCTGCTATTCGGATAAAATTATATATTTTCCTCGGTCGAACACTAATTAAAGTTATTTTGATTAGGTTTAATAAGAATTTTATTAGTATATTAAAAGTCATATGGTGTTATTATAATTTACTTGAAAGTATTTTGTAATAAGCATACATCTCAGCCATATTCATTTTATCTTTTATCTCAAATGGGTTTTCCGCTATTCACCATTACCAGCCAGGCCCATAAATACACACATTTGAATATGCATAATTAAATGTTGAGTTTAACGTAGTAGGAAAATTAAAAACATTTCATTAGTAGGCTTTTCTTCTGGTTTTTGATTTTAGTTGGTTTTGCGAAAACTTTTTAAGTACACATTAGTTAGCTTATAAGATACATAATTAATAACTGGCCAATAAATGAAAAAAGATTAAACAAAGTTATTTACAGTATATTAGTATTATGTGAAACTGTAGGATAGGATAGGATACGATGACTGGGGGAGGAGGGGTTCTTGTGGCTCTTTTAGTTACTGTGCTCGGCTAATGCTCTAAATCAAATATTGCATCCTGTGCCACTTTTATTTACACAAAATGTACTCTTGTTAGTTGTTGTTACATATAACATATAGTATATATGTATATAATATATTATATTTAAATGTAATGATTGCTTTCAACTTATATAGTTTTATATATGTGTGTTTAGTGTTTAGTATGCTTGTATGTATGTTATATTCTTTCACCAGCTAAAGGAAAAGGTCAAAAGGATGGCTAGGATTGATTTGAAAGATGCTTGGAAACTTCTCAGAAAAGTGGTTTGCATTGTCTGGCATTACATACGTGTATGTACATATGTATGTACGTAGGGTCTTCATATACATATACGTATTAATGTACATATGTATGTATTTATGTGTTACTCGTATGTTACTACTAAGCTACATTTTGCTAATAACATTGAATCATAAATCTCATATATCGCCACATACTCGTATGTATGCATGTTCGAATAGTTTGTTAAACATTTATCTGTAGTTTGAGATTAATAACAACATTTTTCGGTTGAAGTTTGCACAACATTTTCCTCTACTACTAACTCTATGTTATATACGAATTTTTGTACAGATTTATGAGAGAGTTTCTAAATATATCCGATATATATATGTATGTATATATGCGTATCGCTTTGAGCGTTCAAGTTTGATATACATTAAGATACATGCTCGTATTTATATTTTTGGTTTTGTT